AATTATTATTTTATATTTGAATGTTTCTGTTCAATTATTATTTTATACATGAATGTTTCTGTTCAGTCCCTGAGATGACTTCTGTTGTGACTTGAAGCTTTAGAAATAAACTGAATAAATAAAAAATAGAAATAAACTAAATTAAAAAATAGAAATAAACTAAATTAAAAAATAGAAATAAACTGAATAAATAAAAATAGAAATAAACTGAATAAATAAAAATAGAAATAAACTGAATAAATAAAAATAGAAATAAACTGAATAAATAAAAATAGAAATAAACTGAACTAAGTGTTTTTCTGGACTGGACTTGAACAGGAAGTGACGTGAACCTAAATGTTTTTGGTGAGATAATAAAGATGGTGGGAGAAGAACAGAGGGAGTTTTGAGTTCGAGGTGGTGCAGACGGATGCAGACGGATGCAAAGTGGAGGAGACGTTTTATCCAACATCAGGCAGTGGCTGAGCCAGGGGGTGGCCATTGGTGGCCTTGGCCTAAACAGATTAATTTTAGGCCACCTGAATTATTGGAGGAAACTATAATTTTAATCAATATGAAAACTAGAAGCAGAGTTCAATCAAATGATCAGAGTTTATTTATATACACATCTATTTGGGCCTAAAAAACACCAAACAATTTAATTTTTGTAAACAGGAAGTCTCTCAAATGAGAGACGAAACGTTTCTATATATTTTTTTGCTTCGTTTTGTTTTTTTGAATGTCCAGAGGACCAGATTGAACTTTTTTGGATTTTTCTACCTGGATTATTGAGCAGCATCCGGATATTTTAAACATTTTTATTTCACAACACGTTCACTGTAGTGGACAACAGGACGACGTTAGTGTGAAAATACAACTGAATTTAGAAAATAAAAAGTGATCAGATCATGGCTTTAGAGTGATATTAACAAAATAAAATCTTTAATTTGATCCAGAGACTGATCTCCGGGGTTCTGGATCGTTTCCTGCGTCTGCAGGACAGGGAACATCAGCAGCTTTGCAGTTCCTTTGGATATTTTATTGGTGATAATCCTGGAAGCATGTTCTTCTTTTGGTGATGCAGAGAAACATCTTGTATCTGGTCCACCTCAGGTATGTCTTGCCATTGTGACCCTTATCCCTGCATCCCTGCATCTTCCAGCATGCTTGATATCCACCATGTCTGGCTTGTGCCTGGACCCTAATCTGCGCACAATGGCTCTGGCTGGAGGAGCCTTGGTTTGGTTGGTGGCTGATCTTCACTGTCTTCACTGCTATCATCAAATGAAGGACTATCCAACAGCTCTTCAGCTAGGTGCAATGTGAAGTCCAGGTACGTTGGATGTTCTTAGCTGCTCCATGGAGCGCTTTACGCTCAGCCTTATACAAACCGGATTCCAAAAAAGTTGGGACACTAAACAAATTGTGAATAAAAACTGAATGCAACGATGTGGAGATGGCAAACGTCAATATTTTATTCGTAATATAACATAGATGACAGATCAAAAGTTTAATCTGAGTAAATGTAACATTTTAAAGGAAAAATATGTTGATTCAAAATTTCACAGTGTCAACAAATCCCAAAAAAGTTGGGACAAGTAGCAATAAGTGGCTGGAAAAAGGAAATTGAGCATATAGCGAACAGCTGGAAGATCATTTAACACTAATTAGGTCAATTGACAACATGATTGGTATAAAAAGAGCTTCTCAGAGTGTCAGTGTCTCTCAGAAGCCAAGATGGTAAGAGGATCACCAATTCCACCATTGTTGCGCAGAAAGATAGTGCAGCAATACCAGAATGGTGTTACCCAGCGTAAAATAGCAAAGACTTTTAAGTTATCATCATCAACCGTGCATAACATCATCAAAAGATTCAGAGAATCTGGAACAATCGCTGTGCGTAAGGGTCAAGGCCGTAAAACTCTACTGGATGCTCGTGATCTCCAGGCCCTTAAACGTCACTGCACCTCAAACAGGAATGCCACTGTCAAGGAAATAACAGAATGGGCTCAGGAATACTTCCAGAAAGCATTGTCAGTGAACACAATCCACCGTGCCATCCGCCGTTGCCAGCTGAAACTCTACAGTGCAAAGAGGAAGCCATTTCTAAGCAAGCTCCACAAGCTCAGACGTTTGCACTGGGCCAGGGGTCATTTAAAATGGAGTGTGGCAAAATGGAAGACTGTTCTGTGGTCAGATGAGTCACCATTTGAAGTTCTTTATGGAACACTGGGACGCCATGTCATCCGGACCAGAGAGGACAAGGATAGCCCAAGTTGTTATCAACGCTCCGTTCAGAAGCCTGCATCACTGATGGTATGGGGTTGCATGAGCGCTTGTGGCATGGGCAGCTTGCATGTCTGGAAAGGCACCATTAATGCAGAGAACTATGTTCAGGTTCTAGAACAACATATGCTCCCATCTAGACGTCATCTCTTTCAGGGAAAACCCTGCATTTTTCAACACGATAATTCCAGACCACATTCTGCAGCAATCACAACATCATGGCTACGTAGGAGAAGGATCCGGGTACTGAAATGGCCAGCCTGCAGTCCAGATCTTTCACCTATAGAGAACATTTGGTGCATCATAAAGAGGAAGGTGTGACAAAGAAGGCCCAAGACGATTGAACAGTTAGAGGCCTGTATTAGACATGAATGGGAGAGCATTTCTATTTCTAAACTGGAGAAACTGGTCTCCTCTGTCCCCAGACGTCTGTTGAGTGTTGGAAGAAGAAGGGGGGATGCCACAAAGTGGGAAAAATGGACTTGTCCCAACTTTTTTGGGATTTGTTGACGCCATGAAATTTGGAAACAACAGATTTTTCCCTTAAAATGAAACATTCTCTCAGTTTAAACTTTTGATCTGTGATTTGTGTTCTATTCTGAATAAAATATTAGATGTTGGCACCTCCACATCATTGCATTCAGTTTTTATTCACAACTTGTTTAGTGTCACAACTTTTTTGGAATCCGGTTTGTATTGGATCCAAGCATTTGTGATGGCAACATCAAAACATGATGTTCATTCCTTGGTCCTGGTAGACTTGCGACTAAAGCTCAACCTTGGCTCACAGAGGTCTACGCCACCCATGTTGTCAGTGTGTTCTCTGATGACTACTGGTCATCACACCTGGACATGAGCCTTTTCTTTGTTGCACCATGTGCTACAGATATTGTCTGGATCTTTTCCACACACATGGATGCCATCAACACTGGTTTACCATCAGACCATTTAGTGACTGCCAGCTTAGACCTCCTCCAGACAACTGATGCTCCTCTCCCTTCTTTTTGCAACTGCTTATCTCCTGCTAGCCGACTTGGCTTTAGTACTCGGCTCCTCGTTATTCAAGTTGCTGGAAGACCCTTTGCAAGTGAAGCATCCATGAGATTGACTGGTGTCAAGTAATGATAAAAGAATACACAAGTTCCAGTGGAACACATTCAACCAATCACAAGACGGCTGCAGCTCCAACCCTCAAGCCTTGGCTCCTGAACATATGTATTCTTCCCTTGGTACACCACAAAGTCCAGCACCAGACCATTTGGAGAGGCAAGGACAAAGACCTGTAGGCCAGTAGGGTTTGTCTTGCCTGGGACATGTTGCCTGGCTGGAAAGTGGCCGATGAACGGGATGATTTGTTCATCAATGCAGACCTTGTTATACCTTGGAAAGCTGAGACAACCCTGGATCACACGGTCAAGCAATGGTCTGACTCTCCAAAGAATGTCTGACTCCTTTGTCTCTTGTGAGTCCACATCATCAACAATCTTGAGCTTCTCAGCTTGTGGAACCGATCCCATCTGTTTCCTGCTAAAATCAGGCACTTGCGTTTTTTTAGCCCCAAACATTTTAACTCTGCGAATGGGCGGGAATATAAAGATCTGTAATATAAGATGGAGCTAGGTTGTTGAGAGC